TCCCGTTTTAAGAACGGTTTACGAAATTTGACTCGTTGAATTTTTTTCTCCCTTGGAAACGCCAGAGTCTGCTGTTTGGTGTATGAAGAATAAAGTGATGCTTTAAGACCCGGGGCCGGACGGCTTTCCATTTATGGGGCCGGTTGCATCACACCACACTTGCCTTCGGGCAAAGGTTAAGAGGAGTCTATTCACAAGCGGCTCCTCCTCAGCCCAGGGAATATTGTAGTATCTTTCAAAGTCGAAAGGTCGAGAGGAAATTATCCTAACCAAGGCGTCACGCGGAAGGGAAAAAACATTGTTCACGCTGCTTTCCCGTAGCGAATTCGGTTTAGAAAGGCACCTATAGTCAGTTTTTCGACCGAACTTTCTAGACGTGAAAATTTTCTTTTTCACCAGCTGAGAGATTTTGAAATGACTTGGCGCGACTAACAAGAGGACGACTGGTTGGTGTGTCACGGGTTTGTACCAAAATTTTTTCGTGATTCTACACTCCAAAATATCGGACACTTACGCACCACTTCTTGTGAATAGACCCTGGTTTCGCCAATTTTTTTTTTTTTTTTTTGAAAATTGCATTTTACAGGTTGTTTAATATTTTCATTTCACCGACCTTAACATTCCCTTCGTCAAAGAGTTGATCCGTTTGCTCTCCTTCTAGTTTCACTACAATCTTTCAACCCATCCTAACCTAATGATCAAGCCCACTGCTTGCTTCAAACGTTTTTATTTATAAAAAAGTTTTTATTATAAAAAAATTATTATAAAAATTATCTCAGCTTCTCAATATTTTGCTATTGAGTGAAAAGTTTCCATCAAACTTTCCTCTTTGGCCAAGAAGAAATTGTATATTTTAAATATAAAAATGTGATGCTGCTAGTATGCATGGGGGTCCTAGAAATGAAGTTATATTAATAGTTAAGTCGAAAAGAATTGTAGAACAGTTTAAATTTTACGAGCCACAAGGGCTTTATTTACTGATCACAATGCTAACAGTATACTTTACAATTTTGTGCGATATGACTCGGAAAGATCAACAAAATTTGTTAGATAAGCAGGCCGGCAGGTGGTCAGAAGGCGTGCACATGGCTGTGTTTTGTCGGTAAACTCTATAAAGTTCAGTTTGCACGAAAAGCCTTTCTGATTTCGCACGATCACTGATAGCGAAGAGGGTGTATACAAATCCAGATATTGCGAGAACACGCAGTTAATATTCCTTATTACTAATTTTTTACTTTAGCAATTAAAGTAGTAAAGATGTCCAAACACTCATTCCTTTAACTTTAATTTATTTTTCATTTGTTTGTCGTATTTGTTGCCAATCCTCTAAGGTGGCATATTTTATTAATATTGCAATTACATAGTTACACAGGCAGCTAATTTTGCGTCCTTAAATTTTTATTTCACTCCAATAAATCATGCGGGTCGTAGTGTCTGAGTCCTCTGGTAAGGGTTTCGACGTCTATGCCTTTAATGGTGAGCTTTATTAATGGTTATTTACTTTAAAACTTTAATATAGGAAAATAACTATAGAGGAGCACAGACAAAAAAAATCATCCTCAGTGTACGAAATGCCAAAAATGTGGCCATACCCGGGCATATGTCTACCACCTGCCTAAATGCGACAAGTATGCTGGATCTCTCCCTTATTCCGACTGCGTAAAAGTCCGACCGCCCTTACCCGCCACAACTACGTAGGCAGACCAACACAGATCCCTCAGCCGTTACTTCTCCACCAACCAGGACACCGAAAGCAGCATACAGGAAAATGACAACGTATTGCGAACCAAAATAAGAACCAACGGCCGATACCATCAGACCTCATCTACAGCCCTCCATAGGTCGATCACCAATTAGCAACGATCCACACTGGACAACTGCTCAGCTACGCCAAAGTGGCAGGTGTCAGACCAACCATTCTTACCCCCACTCCAGACTCAACTCCACTAACAATATCATGACCCTTCTCACTTCCTTCTTAAACGACTTTAAACCTTTAATTACCCAACTAATATTCTTTCTTACAACCCTTGTATCCGAATTACTTTCTAAACTTAACGGATGATCCCTCCAAGGACCTCACAGTTTTTCTTAATAAACCACACTTGGACTGGAAACACTAATAAATGATAGAAATATTGTCGTATTACTACTAACAGAAACACAATACTTTCACATAAACGGATTCACGACTTAGAAAAGATTATCTCTCTGAAGCACCTTTCAACAAACCTCAATCTCTATTTCCCTCTCCTAGTTCCGATCATTTTGTCAGCAGTGTACTGTACTCACTCTGTCCCTATATACTATCTCGACTTTGATTCGATTTTCCGACATCTAGGTTCCCGATTTATCGCCGGGGGCGACTTTAACGCCAATTTTTCTGCATGGGGCAGCAGAACCACAAATTCCCGTGGCCGACTCCTAAACAACGTTCTCGCCCTTCTCAATTCCACTTTCTAATTTCCTGATGAACCAACTTATTGGACCATTGATTAAAACCGCAGTCCCGATTTGCTAGATTTTTCAGTGACACCTAGTGCATGTTCTTCTTTCCCTCTAGCCAATCTTTCAACGATCTATACTTAGAACACCCTCCTGTGCTCCTCACTCTCGATACAACTCCCGTTCATAAACCTTCCAGACCATCTTTAAACAACAATTAAGTAAACTATTTCAACATATCCTTAACAATACCTTAAACCTAACCATTCCCTAAAACATAGTAACCAACTAGAACAAGCTGTGAGTTTCCTCACAAGCAAAATCCAACACGCCGCGCAACTATTGCTTTCTCCTCCAAACCATCATAAGTTTTCTCCGAATTTCCATCTTCCTGAACATAATCAATTTCTTTGAGCATCGATTAGTTCGTGCAGTACACTTGTCTAGCTTCTTTTCTTTATCAGTTTCCTCCAGATGGCAAACAAAGGTTGACTGGTGAACATTAAGCTCTTCCGCAATTTCCCGTGTTGTCTTACATATGAATTTTTTTCAATCAACTTTTTGAGTTGGTCGTCCACGATGGAAGGCCTACCGCGACCTTCGAGATCGAAATCCAAGTTAAAATCTCTGAAACCGTCGCTGCACAATGCATTCGCTAATGCTTCCCTCCCGCCAAAATGTATTGATGTTACGCGCGGTTTGGGCAGCACTTCCCCAGAGTTTAAAATCGTACAAATAAATTTGAAGAAAATATAGTTTGGACATATTTAATTTCGCTGATCCTCACTCTTATAAAATTCAATATAAACTAAAATGTTTTGCATAAAAGATAACAGTTAAAAATATTTATTATAATTCATAAATTAGATGTATTTGAGTATGTACCTTTGTTTACATGACATGCACCTGCGAAAATAAGGCAAACTTTCAAAATCTGCTTTTTTACCTGTGTCAGCTCCTTTCCGACCACCTTTCTACAGTTTTTACTCCCCATTCCGATTTGAATGTCACTTCACACTCAGATCATATCAATGAATTCCTTGACGCCCCTCTCCCTTTTGCTCTACCACTTAAGCCCATCCGCCCCGCTTGTCTCAGATTCTCCGCCTTTCGGAAAGGAAACCTCGGGCCGCGATCTTTTTACCCCTAAAATCTACCCAAAAAAGCAATAATGTACATTACATTTATATACAATGCAACATTTTGCTCAGCCTATTTCCCCATCTATTGGAAAATATCTTTAATAACCCCAATATCAAAACCACACAAATCCTCCTGTGCCCCATCCAGTTATAGACCAATGAGCAATCTTCTTATTTTATTCAAAACTTTGAACGACTCCTCCCTCAAACTATCCCTCCGCCCTAAATCGCTAACCCAAATTCTTAAACGATCATCCCACCTTTTATAATCTTGCACGTCTGTCTAATACGACGATGGTCTCGTGATCTTCTATCTTAACCTACCCAATTAAATTTAACCCCATCCAATTAAATTTAACCCTACCCTATTAAATTTAACCCACTCAATCAAATAAAAGAGAGTTCCAGCACTTCTTGATTTCTCTACCCTTTGTCTCCTCGTCTGAAAAATCAGCCAGATTTGTATATAACTAAACTATTTGCTAAATGTACATTTTGTACAGATACCAATAATAAATTTAAAAAACTATATGGTCTACAGATTTCCACTCCTATTTTCATTTTGAGGCCATCAGCAAGATGCCATGAGTTCACATGGGCTTGAGGAAGTAATAGCTTACTTACAATGGTATATTGTTACCAGTGAACATCAAAATTCTTGACGCATTTTTTACGTGGGTTTCCCATCAGAAGCGTGTATCTATTGCCATACCAACTTTCGTGGTACTTTCCTGGTTTTTTGGGTGTACAGTGTAGACGCAAATACTCCGCCTTGTAACACTCCGTCCTGGATCAGTTTGAGTTCTGAATGTACGTCTTCTTGCTTAATTCCGAAAGACAGGTCAGGAGGTAGGATTGTATACGCTTTCAGCAGTTGGTTGGAATGGAATATCTTATCTTATCTATGAGAAATTCGACAAACCAGACTTTATTGAATACTTGGGCCACATGTAGAAAAACAGCTACACATTTTTTTTATTTAAAGGGATCGAGTCAATAAATGGCATTAGTAGTTTATTTTATTTTTTTTTAGAACACATTGGCAGTAGCGTAATTGGCCTGTATGATCCGAGCTCATACGTCGGTTTAATGATTTAATCATCATGATGACATCATTGATCTTACAGTTTTTAGGAGACCGTTTAGCCTGAAAATTGCATCGAAGATCCTGGTCATGTGATGGTAGCTTTCTTAAACAACGCCCCGTCAATCAGACCAGTAATCAGGCCTTATCCAGGGCTCTTTTTAAGGTTGACTTCAGAATGATAATGCCAAAGATTCTTTCTTCCGTATATTATTTTTCTGTTTGGTTGATTTATAATTCTCTTTATTACATTTCTTAGATTATTATCATTTCACTACTCCTATGTAAGCTCTTTGGACTTTTAAATTTAACTTTTTTTTCCTTTTCAGGTGAAAAGCACATCGGGGCATAACCTCACTGAAAGTAAGTGGCACCTAAGAAAAAGCTAAGGTTTGAAATCTCAATGAAAACTATCAGTCGGATATGTGGTAAGCGATTTCTTCGTGTCATTATTTCTTATTTAATTTTTGAAAAGGTTCTGCTGTCTACAATATTGAAAAATTATTGATTGGTGCTTAGTACTCACAGTTGCCCACTTAGGAGCAATATTTTCTCTTCCAAATGAAATGGAGTTATAGTCTAGTATAAAAAGGAAAAAAAATATCACAAGATATCAATCGTTTCATGACTTAGAACTAATGTAATCACATGACAATTAGAGGTCAATTTATACTCGCACGACTGGACTAGATTTAATCAAGAAATAAAAACCTCCATTGTTGAGAATCAGATTTGGATATAAATTATATTCTTCTAACTCATAACTAGAAAATCCTTAGAGTAAACGTTGCTCAACTCAATATGCGACAAAAACTGTAACTATATGAAACAATGGTCCAGGACTCTTGCATCGAGGAAGTTATACTGTAAACACTGACCAGGTATCTCATACTTCCAGTTAAATTTGAAGTGCCTACGATTCGCTAATTAAGCTTTAACACTTTTCTAAATTGGCCTTCTCTCAGTCAAGTACATAATTTATTATGTTTAAGTTTTTTATTTAAATTAGTTTTACAAATTTCTAGTTTATGCCCACTTAAATATCGGCGTACACAAGTGCAAACTCCTCGCTATTTCATTCATATTTAACGCGAGCTTCACAAAACAAAGGCATTACCGCAATTGCCTTTAGGAATTGATATGTTTATTTATTCATTAAATCTAAGAAAGCCTAGAAAGTAAAGTCAGCCAAGGTTCATGAATGATGTTCTACTTTTTGATTTTAGTCCAAGTCTGGTTTTATCTTTCGAGGATGCACTTTCATTTCTTGTGTATTGATTTTATCGTCCTTTATTCTTCATTGTTAGTTCTATGCTAATGATTTTACATTAGTTTTTTTACATTTACAAATAGTTAAATGACATTCTTATTTCTGTCAGATGAATGTATATACTGTATGTTATATGGTTAAATGTCAATACTGCTAAGGTGGAGTCATTAAATAAATCGTAGTTCAGTGTCAACAGAACTCGGTTTCTACGTTGACTCTTCCTTGCGCCATTCACATTTTTGTGATTTTATTCTAAATCACATAGTTTATTAAATCTAGGATTGTTAATGTTGGTTACTTTGTCATGGAACAGTTGTAACACCGCACACGATTTGCGCGATGAACCCATCAATCAATTTTAACCATGGATATATTTTCCGGATGGATGCATATTTTTAAGGTCATATTCGCTTCATCGATTCCAATTTACCGGGGAGAGCACATTTGTTGGGTTAGGTTATGATCCGATGGTTAGGCTTACGATTATTGTTAGATTAGGTTAGGATAATGGTTACGGCAGTGTTACATTTGGTTTAGGCCTTGGTTAGGTTTGTGTTAGTGTTAGGGTTACGGTTATAGTTATGTTTAGAATTATGCTTATACTAGGTTAAAATATCAAAAGGAAGTAACATTAATAATAGCAATGGTATAGAGTATGCCTTATGATTATGGTTAGGGAGGTGCAGATATGATTCTGGTTAGAGTTATGTCAAGGTTGGATTTGGTTTAGGATATGATGTGGTTAGAACTCCAACTAGGATTATGGTTAAGTTAGGTTAGATAGAGTTAGGAGTATGGCTAGGTTAGGTTATGTGGAGTTTGTTTAGACGGACGGTTTAAGTTAGATATCCATGATTTAAGTTTGTACCGTGTATTGGTTTTTAAATTATAATGGTAACTAGACATTTCTCTCTATGTCTACCGAGCATTGAGCTTGAGCATTGACTCTACGTATCAATGATTGATTTAGTGTGAAGCGCAAATGTTTCAACGGGAGTTACTGCATAGGTCGTAGATTAATTACCCACGGTGTTTCAAGCTTTGTTTCAAGCTCAAGGAACCATATAATTAGGAATATAAACGACGGTATTGTACAGTCTATCTTTAAAGGAAGATGTGAGCTATCTGAACTACAGTGACCATGGCAAAAGATTGAATCATAGGCAAGGTGTCACATATTGAGTACAAGAAGAAAAATATTATTTGGGAACCCAAATTTTACCTACATCCCAAAGAAGACCTTAGAGACAGAGGTTACATAGACGCCTGACAGACAGCAGTAACCGCTGCCAGTGAATATATACATAATTCGTTATATATATATGAATAAACATTGTATAGTATAACATTGTATTTCAAAAAGCAATTGAAACTAGAACCGAGGATCTGTCTTTGACCGTGTCAGCGCATTAACCGATGCGGCGTCTTCATATCCTTATATAGCATAATATAGGTTCTATTCCTGATAAGTTCTAACATATGGAAGCTGATCATGTTTCTTATGATTTTTTACGCAGTAGAAACTTAAGAAACAAAGCGACGCAAGTCGTATCGTCAGTTCATTCATTGTTTTGAACTATTTATGAACAATTCTATTGCAACTATGAAATTCCATATAAAAATCGTGCGCCTCTCCAACCTCCGGTTGTATTTAAATGGTCACTCAGTCAGAAATATGAAAAATTAGTTTAGGATTCGTTGGAAACCGATTAACGGTCGTACCGTTTGTTCCCCACCGCATGTTGTCTTATTTATGACAGCATTGACTGACACAGGTGGTAGGTAGACTGTACCTTTTATAACAGCTCTTCTCGCCCTCTGGGCATGAATAAAAAATTAAACGGATCTTTTAGAATTCACGGCATTGGGAAGAGGGCCACAATTCCTGAGAAAGCCGGAAAGGTGGTTGTGAAGCGTAGGACGCCAGCCATGGTGGGCTGGGCAACGAAATAATAGGCCTCAGGGGAATTTATCAAGCCTCGGTTAGAGAGCCCCTTTAATCATAGTAAATAAAATACATCATTGGTATTTATTCGGTATTCAAGGGTGTTAAAATACCAATTCTCATACCGTAATCATGAAAAGAGGTCTCTTGCCCAAAGATTGGCTTATTTGTACAATATACTTTTGAAAAATGATAATATGCATTTTAGGATTTTAAACCAAAATTAAGAAAAGTGAACTTTACCGTTTTATTCAATTTACCAAAACCTTTTTTTATTATTTGTTTGACCACCTTATTAGCCAGATTTCGTCGGGTATATTATTTTTACTGATATTTCATAGTAATTCATAGATAAAGGAAAAATTATTCTTCAATTAACATGACACAGACCACTTAACCGATTTTGAGCGGATGCGTGCATGGGTGTGTGTGTGCACATATCCTATTATTGCAGGGTTTTCGACCTGTTAAATGGTTCATTCGAATGACCTCCCATTCATTTATTCGGGTCAACAACTTCTGAACATGTTATCAGTCAACTTTTAGCGCGGTCCAACAAAAATGCTTCCTAAAAATCATTTAGAAAATTTCAGATTTCGCTATAAGTCTTATAATGATGTTAAACAATTCAAAACTATATAAATTCAGTTTTACTGAAACTTCGGTAAAGATGCAATGACACAACTTGCGATAACCAAGCTAAATAATGAATTTATGTCTAGACTTATTACTTGTATAATGCATGTTTGTTTTTGGACGGACTTGTTTAATCTAGATAGCTGTTATCAGAAAATTAAGCCAAATAATTTTCAACGTTCTATTTAAAACAAACATATTTTGCCGCGAGTTAGCTAGAAAGGTGAATGGAAAGCTACACTTTTTTTTAGTCAAACCGTTATGTTATATTGATTAAACAAAATTAAACTCAAAAATGATAATTCACTTCAAGTCTATATCATTTATATGAACTTATTTATTTCATTAATTATTGGTTTGAGATTGGAGGTGTATAGCACATATAACCCCGTGGAGACAGGGATTTATACAGACAATAAACTATACTGGAATTTTGCGGACCGTATCTTCAAGACGCACTTCCACGACCGTACAGAGGTTGATTAAACATTAGAATAAAAGCAATTGATTACGTAGACTCTCAACACCATAAAATTCCTTTTCAAACTTTAATGATTTACCAACTTTACTAAATACTTCATTTTGCCTTGATCTGAATTATCTTGTAAATTACACTCTGTGCAAGAAAAATGTGCACATTGCACATTTAACCTAACATGTAATTGCGATAAAATGGTGTGAAAACCAAAAGGTTGGATTACATAACTCATCAAAAAGCCAAAAATCTGCAATAGGAGAAACAAAACAATTAACAAAAAGAGCTGGAGAATAATAAAATGTAACAGATCATCGTCAAACATAAACAACTTGACAACGGTAAACCTCATACCTTCAGAACAGATATATCGTCAATATAGGTAGAAATCGCACTGGGTCACGTTTTGGGTCCGCCTATACCCCGGGTCTTATACACTTCTCAAACATTAATTGTTTTTTCACCATCGCATTCGCTCCGAGTGCAGAAGGACCTAGTAAGTGACCTAGCACACATTCAGTATGTGTTCACCGACTCGCAGACCATTATCAATTTCAATAATTAAAGTTTTATTACAGTTACAATTATTTTCATAAGATATGGAATAATTCCAAAGCCTTGTCATTAATGTTATAAATACATTAGTTTTCACATTGAAAGAATGATGGATACATTCATTTTGAAGTCCTTCCTTTCGGATCGCTGGTTTAAGATGAGAATAGGCAGAGATTTGTAGAAAGCCGACTTTGTCAGCAAGAAAGGGTTAAACCACACCTTCAATATTTAACACAGCTGATATGCCTATCCACCCGAAGACCCAAATTGCAACTTTGGCGGACGACCCCGTCATCCTCTCCTTTCACTCTAATATAGTAGCCAAAGCACTCCCAGAAGACATTCGTACGGCAAGTTAAATGAGGGAGAGTTATCACACGATGTTGAATAAGGTAATCCAAATCCTTGGGTTCTGTTTGGACAGCAGACTTGGATGGAACTCACACAGTACTGAAAAGCCAAAACTTAACAATTGTCAGAAC